CCCCAAAACCCCAAAACCCCAAAACCCCGACTGGCCAACTACAGATAATAATATTTTTTATAAATATTTGGAAGCGAAAGGAAGATATGGGTTTGATAAATGTAGATTAGAACTTAGATTCATTGTTTGCGAAGAGTTTACATTCGTTTATTGTAGACTTCTCTGGTAGGTGTTCTTCGCTTACTCTGAAGTCAATACTATCAATTCTGTGAATCCAGTTCTCAGCAGATTGATTGGGATTATAAATAACTCTTCTGTTGTTATGGTCTAAATTTTTGATGTCTCTGATTAGTATAGTAAAAATCATTTCAGTACTTTCTCCGTACACAGACTCCACTCTGATTTCACCTCCTAGTATTTCCACATATTTCTTACTGATTGTCAATCCAAGGCCACACCCGTCAGGATTCAGACCCTCATTGTCTTCAAGCACACCAAAGAGTTTGAAAAGTCATGCCTGATCTTCTTGCTTGATGCCTGGCCCAGTATCATGAACTCTGAACTCCACAAAGCTCTGACCTCCGAAGTCTTTGACCATCTTAGCTTTGAGAGTGATTGAGCCTTTGAATGTGAGTTTGACCGAGTTCGAGACCAAGTTCAACAACACTTGGCGAACTCTGTTTCTGTCTGTGTTGACTTCACAGAACTGCATTTGGTCGTCACACTCGATGAGCAGAGCCACATCTCTGCTCTGACATTGGGTCTCGAACAGGGTGCAGATTTCAAGCAGTAAAGCATGCACGTTGAAGTATGAATAGTTGGTGGTAAAAAGTCCCGTTGTCGATCCTCGACAAGCTCAGGATGTCTTCGACAAGTGCCATCATGAGCACAGAAGAAATGCTGCCTGTCTTGATAAACCTCAAGATGTTGTCGATGTGGGTGTAGACTTCTCTGCTTTCAAGCATATCTCTTGGAACTTTGTCATGGAGAGTCTTAATGTGCTCTTCAAAGCTTGCCTTAATAATGTTATACGAGTTGATGATTGCATTGAGAGGAGTTCTGAACTCATGACTTGCACTAGCAAACATCACTCTCTGCATCTTGATTCGGTTCTTGGCTTTTTCGAGGTTGATGATATCAGTTGTGTCGATGAAGACATGCATGACAGAAGGTTTGCCTTTCCACTCCATTCTGAGAGATTTAATTTCGAAGTTTCTCCTGAAGTGGTTCTCTTCATCGAAAATTTCATCCAGCATATTTGAGCGTTTGACTGGGATACTATAAAGTTATTGTGAGGTCTAACAAGAAACAATCAATTTTATAATGTCTAGAAGCTTTTAGAGTTGAAGTGCAGACTTACTTGTCAGCAGACTTGTCTCAATCAATAATTGCATGTTTTCTAAAGTTAAGGCCATTTGCTTTATATCCTTGGGAACTCTCAGTGAGAAACTGTAGAAGATTTCAGTGCTCATTTTGACTCTTTGTGGCCTTATCTTTCTTCAAAATCACTTTGACTTTTTCGAGCCTCTGGATCTTGCGGTTCAGAGTCTTAATTGAAGCTTCGAACTGGTTGTTTGGGTATCACTTAGACTCATCAGAGATTCTTTGAGGCAATATAAGTACTGGGTGAGGAAATTCTTGCATCAATTTTGCTTTCTCTTTGACCAACTTATTGTTCTTCAAGATGATCGAATACATATCAGCTAACCTTGACTGCTCAATATGAGCTCCGAAACTGTAATAAAGAATTGAGGTAGCTACTGATAGCAAGATATCATTGTCAAGTTCTCCAATCTTTTTCCAAGTTAAATACAAGTTGAGAACATTTGTTAGAGTAAACACAAGTGAGTTCAATCGCTTTTTGGACGGAGACAACGCAGTTGTGAAATAAAAATATCAATAAGTGCACGAAAGATATCAATTCTGGTGGCCTACGTAGTCTGATACGTAAACAAAATGAGCCAGTCCAAATGCAGTACAGTTGATGAAGCCAAGATAGGTCTGAACATAAGAAGGATGTTTGGATATGAAATATATTGGGACTCATGAAAGTACCAAAAATACGAAGTTGCCAACGACATGCTCATGATCTTGCTGTGCCCTTGAAGATTTGAATGCCTAGTAATGATCTACTGAGCTTACCTTGATTATGTGTAGTAGTATATTGAGGAATGCTAGCAGAACTGCTGACTATACAAGTTGGTAAGAAAACATATTTTATCCACAAACGACACCTAAACGATTTTCTTAAAATATTTACGTTAATAAAATGTTTTGTAATAATATAAAAATTTTGGCATGGAGCAACTGCTTGGGCTTGGAAATACCAATAAATATAAATCTTAGCAGATCTATAAGCTTAAGCTAGATAAAAAGTCTCTGAAGGTAGATTATCAATCCTTTCGTGCTATCTAGTCATCTTTGAAAATTCATCTCTCGAACTAATTCATAAGTAAACCGGAAGCAGTGATTGCTTTAGTACTGAACATATGAGGCCTTTGTTGCTCTGTCTTGTTTTAAAACAAAGGTTTCATAATGCTAGGGCTCTCCGCCAGTATGATTATCACTGATATTTACTTCTTGCGAAGCTCAGTCTGTTATACCAGAAGTATTATTTTATAAATTTTAAGAAATTTTGAAAAATTATGGTTTACTTCTTAAGATTATGGTCAACTCATGCAAACATGAAATAGACTGAAGTACTTTCTGCTTATGAGTTTGTGGGTAGTAAAAGATATGTAATAGAGACTCCGCTCAAACGAAGAACAAATAGGAGACGAAGGTATTCCATATAGCTGATATTCCTTCACAGATTTTTGGGATTTGTATATGTATAACTGAACAAAAATGAGTTATCGTAGAAAAATATTTGCAATTAACTCAGTGTCCGATATCTAATGAGGTTGTGAATTTTATGCATTTTCTAAAATGGATTCCCTTTTGGAAGTTCGCCTTTCATTGCAAAAAAAGACTTCTCAATAATATTGGGCTAGATTCAGAGAAATTATCATCTCAATGAACAAGCAATGCCAATATTGGAAAATTGTTGGCATTGCTATAAGAAAGCCAGTATTATATTGATAATTTTCTTCTGAAAATTATTTGTTCAATTATGGATTCCAAAGCAGCAAAAATAACTATTAGAAGTCTCATCCTAATTTCTGTATTGTAGTCAATGACGTAAAGTTTAAATCTTCACTAGTTTCATGATAAGTGTTTTAGCCCAAATCTTTTAATGATCAGACAATAAAATTAGTGATGAAGAGCCAAGCACGTAGACCCTACCTTCTTGAGAGACTCTACTGCGGACTTATTCAACTGGTCTATCTCTTCTATATTATAAGTGGACAGATCTTACTTTTTGGGATTTGGGCTTCTAACTCTGAGAATCTTCGATCAGTTTCATAAAACTGGTAAGGAATCTCGACGATTTTCCTGAGAAATGATTTACCCTTTTTAACAGCTCAATCTATTTGGGCATTTCTCAATTGCTCTCTGGAAGTTATATCTCCTGGATTCCATCTTTTCTGTTGGATCTGAAAGAGGGGCTGCTGTCTCTCTATAATAGGTGAAGCTGAAGTATACTACCTTGTTCGATATTTGAGAGTCCTGTTCGCCAATGATATTCATTTGGGAAAGCTTCATTTTAATTTTCGACTATAAATACTATTAATAATCTTGGGGTTTTGGGGTTTTGGGGTTTTGGGG